CAGGGAATGCTGCTAGGGATCCTGTATGCTTGTTTACTTAAGCTTTGTGGGACAGCATCTTACAAGAAAAGCAAATGTTTAAGAGCAAGAAGTAGTATTAGCCTTTCCCACACACATTGTGGTGCTATTCCTACCATTAGGGAAAGGAAAGTCTTGCAGGAAACAGGAAAATCTTGCACAAAAATAGCTTTAGTTTTTCCCAGAAACTTGAATTTGACTCCTAAACAGCCAGCATATCCTTTATTTAACCCTGTCTGATTTTGACCAATAAACCAAAAAATAATAATCAATATGAACAACTGCTGAATCCAGCTGTTTTGTATAGTAAGCCACTCATGAGGCTTGATAGAAATCAACTGAAGGATGTGTGAAGAATGGGGTGTTGGGAATTTCTGCGGGTTGTACTAAAATTAAAGTGCTTGTGGCCCGGTGGTTTTTATCACAGATTGAGTATATGTTATTTCTGGCCTTATTTTAAAGCCAGCCTAAGCCACTGATCACGTTTATCGTTGAGAAGCAGTTGGGAAATCAGTCTGGGTTCTGCCAGGCAGCTGGGAGTTGCACAGTATGTTAGACCTGAACTTGGTTTTGATTTATGAATGCAAAGATTTATAAAACTTCAAAATCGTGAGTCTGAAAATAAGAGTACCAGCAAGAGCAGTTTAAATACTGAGCCAGATTTTATAGTAAACCATATAAAGTTTTCTCTTTGCTGGCAGATGTCTGTAACTAGCAATATATTAGTTGATATGACCAGACATTTTTTACTCTGTATGCAAATTCCTTCCTTAACATCCTTTCCTCTCATAAGGTCTTGTGGCATTTGGTACTTACATCCACGAAAGGAAGTGGATTCCTGTGTTACTTGATGTGCTTACTTTGATGGGGTTCTCTGTGTGGTGTCTTCTCTTATTTGTTCAATGACTGGAAGTCCCTTGTGTTAGACTTAGTCAGACCTTTTAAACCGTGTTTATTTTTAAGCTTTTCATCCTTTTAGGCATGTGTGGCACAGTTTTGGTGTATTTTATAGAAACTTAGAGTAGTTCAGTGTGAATAAAATTGGTCCTGCAGTTTTCACTTAAGTACTATTTTGTAGCTATTTTGAAACACACAGAGAACATCCTCTAACCCCAATTTTTTTCTCTTTCTGATGCTTCATTTTTTGCATCTTTTTATTTGGAAAGACTTCTAATAATGAAATAGATTTGATTATGGCTTGTCTTTTTTATACTTTATTTTGCATGCGTCCAGCTCTTTTGGGAAAAGTTTGATTTGATCATTTATCTTCTGCATGATTAGAAATCATTATATTCTACAAAACATCCTCTTTACTCATGAAAACAACTACTGTTACTCATGACAGAAAGATTTGAGTCCTTTTATAATGCAGATATTGATCAGACCTCTAGTGTTTGGGATTAAATAAAACTGCCAAACTTTAGCTTCTGATTAGTATGATAGCAGATCTGTCTACCTTCTTCTTAAATATTTACTAGTTAAATGACATCGTAGCTGTCTTCAGCTGTGTATTTTTTGTTTGAACAACACATCATTGCTGAAACTTTGATCATACTTTGCTAGAATTTTTTGTGACTGAAAACAACTATTTTCTAGAAATACTGTATCAAACTAGATTGCAAGTAAGAAATACTGAGATGTCAAAAGTGTGAGATTTGCTTAGTTTATCCAAAGAAACTCAGCATTTTGTGTCCTATGGAAAAATTTTACTTAATTTATTGCCTTGCTGGATCTGAAACACAGGCATATATACTACTGAAGGCTCTACTTAATTTCTGAAGCCTGTGCTTTTCTAATTTAAATCTGTGGTTTAACATTTGCCTGTAAGAAATACATACATCTGTACCATAATAGCTTCTTTACTTAGATGTTGCAGCCTCTGGAAATTGAAAATAGCTGTTCTCTGAAAATATGGAATTAATTTTGTTGTCTTTCTGAAATCATAATCATAGGACAAGGTTAGTTATATCCAATAATTAAAATGTTAATTTTAAATAATATTTTGTAATAGTTTTATGTGTTTGTTTTTTTCCCTGTCAGATTATGTGTCAAAAACACTGTTTAAATTATCTGCAGCTATGTGTCAGGAATGGTAATTACATAATTACAAATGAAAACTGCAACTGGCTTTTTAGTATAAGTGTTCGAGTTGGATATATGTTGATTTTAATGTTTTAGAGTCTAAATCAACAGTAGCTGGGAAATAGTTATAACAAAGCTTCTGGCTTCCTATTCTTAGCATTTGTATGGAAATATTACAATGTTATGAGTCAGAACTCGGAATTAAAATTATATTGATGCATTTTATCAGATACTGGTACAATGATGATGAGTTTGTTTTTAATTTCTTTCTCTGAGGAGGGAGCATTTAAAATTATATTTCCTTAAATCTAAGCGAAGGAATAAATGATTATTAGAGGTGTGAAGAGAAATATGAAATTATTATAACTCACCTAAACAGCTTAGAAGGAGCTCTGTTGACTTGGAAATACTAATGTTAAAAGTCAGCAAAGTGCATTATGTTTTTTTTGTATGTTATTATTAATTCCTGTTAATTTCATTTTCCCTAAGCTGCTCATGAATAAATTGCTTGTACAGGAATTTTTACTTGCATCTTCTAGGTTCTTGTCATTCACCAGAATCAATACTCCTTTTGTTCCCCTTCATTCTGAATGTGTGGTGTATTATAGAATGAACATTGTTGATTTAGTCCCTGTGGTGCAAAATCAAGCCTATTTCTCTTTGTGAAGTGCAATCTACAGCTTTAATTTGAGAGGACGAGAAAAAACTTGTAAGAATGAAGCAGTGAGCAAAGCAATGAGGAAAAGTATTATTTACTTCTTGCAGCTGAAACTCAAGTATTAAAAATGTTATAATTTCTAGTTTTTGCCAAGATATGATTTATCTTGGAAGGCTTATTGTTATTTTAAGAAAATGGCTATTCACATGTTTATAGATGAAGGCAGAATTATTTGATTTACCTCAATGTTTGGTGTGATGTGTATGCACTTGCAGAGCTGACTAGTTTGATGTAGCTATTTGGAGGGGCAGGGAGGCCTGGGAACGAGATAGACACGCCTCCTCTTTCCCCTTAAAAATTTCAGCTAAATATTAAAGTAGTAAAGCATTTTTTTTCTCATTCACAAAGACCTTAAGTAACTTGTCCTTAATACACCTGTGTTGTTTTTCTTTGTATTCAGGGAAGCAGTGTTTCTTAGTCCTGCGTCAGCAGCAGTTTAATATCCAGGCTCTAGTGGCTGTGGGACAGCATGCAAGCAAGCAGATGGTAAAGTTTGCTGCCAAGTAAGTAAGCAATTATATCCTGTTGTCAGAGTAAACAATGGTGGGAACCAGGACTCCCAGGGGTTGGGACAATTTTCACACATTAACATCAATGCTTCATTTGTTTTAAAATGTAGTTATTTAAATTGTCAGCTCACTATTGCCTTGAATACATTACACTGACAAAAGATAAAATAGAGAACAGGCTTGAAATTCATTCTGAACTGCTGAAGCAGCATTCTCTTGCCATAGACAACCAACATTTGCTTTCAAGCTGGCTAACAAAAAGTCTGGCAAGCTGAGCTTAGTGGGACACTTCATTTTGTGTGTGGTGTTTGTGTGTGTCTGCACATGTTCAGGGTTTTTTTTGCCATGTATTACTACGTTTTAAAGCTAGAAGTAGTGTGAAGAAATCCCACATTGCAAGTGGCTTATTGAGTTGAAGAAATCCAGTGCCTTCTGTGTACCAAACTAAGCTTTCTTGCAACTTATTTTTGTCACTAGAATGTTTAATGAGGGATTTAAGTTACTTTTTAAAATATTGGGGGCAGGCATAGTAGTATGACTTACAATTAAACAAGTGTTTGTTGCAGCAGTTTAAATTCAGTTACTTGGTTTGTTTTTTTCTTAAAGACAAAAAAATTGCCTTACCTTGCTACTTGCCTCAGGATTGTGCTTTCAGATTGTTCAGTACTAAATGTGCTTGCATGACAAAAGTGTTCTTGTAGTAAAACTTTTAATCATGTAGATTTACTTGTTCACACATATAAATGTGGATCAATTCAGTGCAATAATATGTTTAACATGTGGCACTCAGTTGCTTCTGTGTAGTTCTTGGCACTACTCTCATGGCTGGGAAGGGAGCCCCCACTAATTAGCTGTAAAAGCGCTACAGCCTTCAACCTTCAATATGTCAGGGAGAGGAGAGATTCATTATAGTATAGACTTCCAGAAGCCAAGTTAAGAAGGTTAGGATAATGCTTCTGCTGATGAGGTTCAAGGCTACGGGAAAACAGAACCAGCAGTGTTTGTTGGTTGGCGGTGCTTAGTGTTGGCAGTGCCAGTGTGAAGCATGCTGTTTACAGGTGTTTAGGAGCCAAAGTGAAGTGTTCTGCTTCTTCATTAAATAGTTTGTTCTCTCCAGAGAATTAAGTGTATAATCTGCTTGCTCCCCAATTCATCTCTCTAACCTACAGTCTGCCTGTACTCTTGATGAACTTGCACTACAGAATGGTGAAACAACTCTTGAAAGTTGTGATGCTCACTCTCCCTTTCTCCAGTTCTCTACACTGTTCTCTCCGAAGTTCTCGCTTTTTGAGTTTTCTTCATGGTTCTTTCCTCCACAACTGAATTTCTTATGTTTCATGAGCAGCAGAGCCCAGTGTTCAGAAGCTTATAAGAGGGAAGTTGGTCTTTTCTCCTTCTTTCCATGTGCTGATTCTGCCACTTGTTTTAATTCACTAATCTTTTGCCCCCTGGTTAGTTGTTTGTTAAGTTAGTGATTTAAATTAGGTCATGGAGGTCCAGAGCTAACAAGGACTGGTAAAATGGTGGAAAAGGATATCTAGAAAGAGTAGAAGGCTGTGGTGGATGGACCCTGGCTGGATGCCAGGTTCCCACCAAAGCTGCCCCCTCTTCAGCTGGACAAGGGAGAGAAAATATAATGACAGAATTGTGGGTTGAGATAAGGACAGTGAAGTCACTCACCAGTTACCATCATGGGCAAAACAGGCTCCACTGGGGACAGTTAATTTTATCAGAGTCGGGTAATGAGAACTAAAATAAAGTCCTAAAACACCTTCCCCCTACCCCTGCCTTCTTCCTGAGCTCAAATTACTTTGCTCCTGGTTTCTCTGCTTTCCCCCTTCTACCAAAACCTTGCCACACAAATCCAATATAAGGGCAAATCTCCCTTCTCTTCTGGCAGCAGTGAGCTGCTAGATTGGGTGGAACCTTATTCTGGGGTTCTTTCCAACTCCCTATTATCTCTCTGCTTTTTTGATGTGACAGACCTGATTTGCTCAGATTAGCCAGACTCATGATGTTTGTACTGTGTTTTGACTTGTCCTCTTCCTTTTTGTGATTACATTTGCTAGCAAAATCCTGATACTTCAAACTCTCTGATTTATAGCCTGCTTGTTATACTCATTTGTGCTTCTGAAAAGCACACATCCTTATTATCATCATGTTCTCTGAATGATAGAACTGTCTCTACTACAGCTTTCTGAGTTTTCTTTGAGGGTTTCCTTTTGGATTTTTTAAACACCATTAGTGCAGTCTTCTTATGATTCCCTCCCACCAACAAACCTATTTTCTTAATATGACTTTTTCCAATGTGTTATCTTCTTCTGAAGTTTTGTCTGATACCACCACTGCAGCTGCCTCTTGTCTTTCAGAGGCTGCTACTGTTCCCAGACCTCTAAGTGCACTTGTGGTCACTGTGTCAGTTCTGTGCCTGAAGCACACTAGTGGTACCTGCCTTGTTTCCAGACACTTCCCTGCTAGTTTTCACCTGCTGTGTAATGATATGATGCCATTATTACTAGCAGATGAGGCTGGTCTTAGGTGTCTAAAAATAACTACACTGTTTCTCTGTTTCTCAGTGTGTGTTTTCATCATCTCCCCTTGTTTCCTACACATTAAATGTGGAAAGTCAAATTTATTGAAGAAAACATTTACATTAAATTACTAATTTTTTAAATAAACTTTTTCACTGGTTGCACATAAACTTTATTTTTAATCTGCTACTTCCTCATATTTTGATAACAGCTCTAAACTTTTCTTTAAAATAGTTTGTGATGTTCTGGATCTTGAATTTTTAATGAGAACTGATTAAATAATGAGCAATTTTTGCACAAATTTTCATAAATAATAAACAAACCAGTTCCTCTTTTAGATATTGGCACATGGAAACCAAGAACTTTCATAACCTTCTGTGGTCTAGCAACATTCATGTAATAAGTATCTCCATTATCATAAGAATGTGAGTTCTTTGTAGTGAAAGATCCTTAATACTGCTTTAACTCAGTTACACAAAGAAATATCTGTGAGTTTTAACTATGAAAAGTTTCTAGTTGGACTTTAAAACCTACATAACCAACAACACAGAGCCAGTCGAAATACTGGATTGACATCTTATGTCTCTCATCAGAAAAAAGAATTCATCTAAGATCTGCAAGGGATGCTGTAAAAGAGGAGTTAGTTGTCTCTTTCAGTCAGTGGAGGTGCCAAGTGATGCAGTTAGTAATTTATCAATCTGCTTTTTAAAAAATGTAGTATTGGGTGTGGTTGGCTTTGGGTTTCTGAGCCTTTTCACCCCCTGCTACCATAGCTGTGTGATACGTGAGTTGGGAGAGGTGGTTAACAGCTTCTAATTTAGCTGCCCAAGCTATGTGTCCTTGCTCAGGAAGTAACTTGATGTCTCTTTGTAGTAGGCTAGAGAATAAAAATCCAGAAAGATTTAAAATTTGAAAAACCTATAAATAAAAAAAGATGGGTAAACCTGTGTGAAAATTATTCACAGTGTAGAAAAATATACATACATTTAACCGCTAGATAACTTGGTAATACTAGGAAAACTGCTGGATGTTGCAGAAATAGTTTATCTATTTCTGTTTTATATGAGTGATCTGAAAGAAAATGTCAAATAGCAGCTGGTAAGTTTGCTGGTGACAAAGAAATTGCAATGGTAAACTGGGGATTAGGAGTATATAGTAACCAGAGTTCATGTAATCACTTCATGTTCTTCAGTGTGAACTTGTACCTTTGTGAACACTAGTTCAGATTTTGTGTGTGTGTGTTCAGGATTACTATGTAGGAAACTAAATAATGAGAAATGTGGGATCATGATAGATAACTGATTTAACAGGAGTCCATTCTTTTCTCTTGCCTACTACGCTAGGAGATCTCTTGATCCTGAGTTTTGAAAAGGAGGAATAAAATGCCATGAATGTAATACATGCCAGTCATTAGACTATTTCTGAAATATTTTGTCCACTTCTCTTGTTTTTGTGTCTGAATATCAAATTGGAAGAGGTTGATGGTGAAGCTGCAAGATGAAATGATATGCATATATACCTTCCTGTGAGAGTAAAGAAAACTATTCTATCCAAGAGATTTAGTAAGTAATTTAAGCCCTTGTCTGATAGTACCTACTCAAGAAGATTTTCTGCCAAGAGAGAGTACTTTGCAGACACAAAGGTATTAGAAGAGGCAATGAACAGATGGTGAGACTAGGTACATTTGGAAGTGGAGAATAAGAATTTTTTCAAAGTAAACTCTGTTGCCTTCAGTTTTTACTGACATTCAATTCAGATAAGGGATCATTGATTATTATGTTTTATGACAATTACTTAATATGTTTAGATTTAATAATATATTAATATAATAATTTCTTCAATCTGCTTATGGAAAACAGTGTTAGGGGAAAAAAGAAGAAAAGGTCTGCAAACATAGATGCTTTCATTAAGTAAAACATTTTCTATTTAGAGACTATAAATAACCAATTCTTCAGACTTTGGGTGAATAAAATGTTGATTGTGATTCACTTAAGGAGGCCCACATGGGGTATAGCTTGCAACATAAAGCTGTTGATTAAAGATTTTGTCATACAGATGGCAATAATGCAATCCTGTGGTTGAAAGAGAAAGTCTTGGCTAATAGACATGCAGATAATTAAAAGGGACATAAGGCATCTAGTGGACATTTTAGTAATCATAGTCTGGGTTTTTTGGAAGGAACATTACATATAAAGAAGCGGTTTGCTATACAGAGGCTCTTTTTTAGCATTGGACTTAATGAATCTAATACTAAAATAGCTTCAGCCTGGAGAAGAGAAGGCTCCGGGGAAACCTTAGGAGCACCTTCCAGTGCCTGAAGGGGCTACAGGAAAGCTGGGGAGGGCCTTTTTACAAGGGCTTGTAGAGAGAGGACAAGTTGTAATGGATCAAAACTGGAGGAGGGGATATTAAGACATTAGGAGGAAATGCTTTAGTGTGGGGGTGGTGAGACACTGGAACAGGTTGCGCAGGGAGGTTGTGGAAGCCCCATCCCTGGGCATGTTCCAGGGTAGGTTGGATGGGGCCCTGAGCAGCTTGACCTAATGGGAGATGTCCCTGCCCTTGCAGGGAGGTTGGAACTAGATGATCTTTAAGGTCCTTTCCAACTCAAACCATTCTATGATTCTTTAAGGATTAACCAATATAAATATGTCATCTGTCTTTTCTCAATGCATCATGCATCCTAAATTAGTTTCTAGTCCTTTGTAATATTAATTGCAGATAGAAATATTGTTGTCTTTAATGGAAATGAGGATAGCTTTGGTGTGCTTTTCTGCTACTAGTTTTTTTTGTTTGGGTTTTTTTTTGTTACATAGGGGAATTTTATTAAAAAATCACCTAGATGACTTAGTGCTGTTGCTGCAGAGAGCACTTTGCTATATTTACCAGCATTTAATGAAGGCATCTTGTTTCTTAGTGTAACTTGAACTGAAATTACCATTTTAGTAACATTTCTTGAATTACCTGTTGAGATCAAAAGAGCACCTTCTAGGTTTCTGTAGTTTATATTTGAACCACTATGTTAGGGACTTGAGACATTTCCAGCACTAGACCTTGCTGAGCATAGTTCAAGCAGAGCTCAAAGCATGAGCTTTTACTTCCACACCAGATTAGAAACATAGTCTGAGTGAGCAAAGCATGTTTTTTTAATTATTAAGTGAAAGTTTAAAGTAGATGATGAACTTTGTAAACACAAAGATGGTCATATGCAGCAGAAAACTTGGTAGTGCTTTTGTGTGCCCAGGCAATTACATGCCTGTTTGGATACAGGGATCTCCATAAGTAGGAAGTGAGTTGAAATGTATCTTAAAATTATGGCAAATTTAATGAATAAGAGACATTACTGTTTTAAAGTGTGTTCCGGACCACGAAACATACCATTTTAGTTGCAGCTCCAGTTTAGAGAGAGAAGAAGCATGTTTAATTGCAACTGCAAAGTTTAAAGTTCCATTATGTAAGTTTGCAAAGCAATAGTACAGTTACAATGATGTAAGAGTCCGTTTCTTTCTGTATTTTTAAGCTGAAGCAATTTTGCATGTCTTGAATTCCATGCATGTTCTCATCAAAGCTCTGTAATGACTTCACTAACACCAGTTCTCAGCCATGGGTCAGTGCTCTGATTATGAATCCATCACACAACACATTTATGTGTAACTGTTATTTTCTTTTTCATAGTGCAGAGAATTTGCTTCATTAAGTTTAAGATTTTTTTTTTATTTGCAATTATTAGTGAGAGAGCTTTTATTCAGCAGATTAGAAACATATTTTCAATGAAGACACTGCTGTTTGTGTCATTAGAGTGTTTTCTGGGCGTTTGCCAAAATGTTGACAGGAAGAATAGAGGAGAACTGCCTAATGGCAAAAAAAAAGTTAATATTAGAGTAAAACTTTTATTCTTTTGAACATTCACTTTGAAAAACAAAGAGAATGTATAGTTATGCCTAACATCATTTTAGCATGATACATCCTCTGTGTTTTTGATCATCACATTCTCTTGCATACAAAGGGTTGTATTGCCAACAATTGTCTTTTTAAGCAGTTTTAAACAGAACCATTTGTGACTGTGTATTTCTAAGCACTTAAGTGTCATTTCTCCTTGTCTTTCTGGAGTTCATTGCCTCCTCTTAATAGTAGAGATGAATGGAGGCTCACCCTTAACTAAATTAATTAATTCTGATTTAAAGTCTTCTGTTGACCTCTGCTTTGTACAAATTTAGTCATTTGTTCATTATGCTGACTTGAGCAACTGTAGCTCTTTTAAAGTGCAAATGTTCCGGAACAACATGCTATTCCTGAATGTTTAGCTGTTTTTGGAGTTATCTAGTGGTTAAGCAAGTCAAGCATATGAAGCACCGAGATCTGTATAACTTTTAGAGCAGCTGCCAGTGAGTTATGTTACCTGAAACTATTTCCATCAAAGAAATAGTGTAATTAACTAAAATGCTCACATTTGGCTTTTTAAAGTAACTTGTAATTTACTGATAGTGATGCTGCTAGGTTTGGAGAATTTTGATGCTTGAATTTTCCACTGTTACTTTAATATAATTCTGTTTATCAAAATGTTGGTAATTTCTATTAAAAATTCTGTTGGATAATTTACATTTGAACTCAGCTTTAGAAAGTTTGTCCCAGGTTAGACCAAAGATCCATCTCACTTGTTTTTAGGGCTGATATGGATGCTTCACTAATAGTAGAAAGCAGGGCAAGCAAGCAACCCTTGATGATTTGTTTCCAGCTGCTGCTGAGTCCACACCACTAAGTCTTCATCAGAGAAGAAAGCTAAGCTTCCCTTATCAAATAAGAAGAGAAGCTTAATTGTGAGAGAATGTCCAAACAAAGATATTTCTAAAGAGAAATTTATGAATCCTAGTAAATTTCTTGTGTGGTTTTACTGTAGCTATACAAAAAGACTGTAGAGCTAGAGTGCCTAGATTTTGTTCATATATCACATGCATATTCTGTGCATATAAATATTTATCTCACTGCCCTTCAATTCAGCTGTGTGGGTTTTGTGAGTTGGTTTTTTGAGGCTTGGAGAGGGGTCTTAAAAAAAAAAGCCAACCTTCCAAACTTGAAGACTGTCAATTGCTCTTTGTTTTACCAAGATGAGTAGTGGCCAACATGTCCAATGACATCCTTGATCACCTCTTAGTATTTACAGCTAAATTGTGGGCCTGTTACTTTCCTGCTTTCTAAGAGCTTATGGGGTTGAGTGATGTACATAAAGTGCTTTCCAGCCTTCTCAAGAAGGCCTTAGAAGTGAAAGCTGAAGTTAATGGTAACATTTATTTTTCATGAAAATAATTTTTTTCTGATATTGGGCCTTTTATAAGGAGGTTAACAAAGAGACAGAGTGAAAATACATTTCCAGTAGGGTTGAGATTGTCTGTAGAAAATTACTGGTTTAAAGTCTGGTTCCCTAATTTTTTAAATAAAAATTGCTTATACGAATTCTTTTCTCACCTATGACTCTAGATGCTTTTGTTCTGGTTTGCTTGTAGCACACATAATTTATATCATATTTTGGGAATACTTTCAAGATGTTATATGATGTTTTAATGTACTATTAGTGACTGTTACTGGAGAGCAATTAAGATGTCCCCTGTCGTAGGGGGCACACAGGCATCTTGTATCTTTCAGTAACAAGTCATGTAGTTTAAACAAGCTCAATCAGTTTTGATTTTGCCCTGCGGATCTAGGACTTCCTTTGAATTTGTTGTTCTGCTTGTTAAGACACATCTTGCAGATAATTGCATCAGCTGACACTTACAAGAGTGTATGTGGCCTAGAAAAAGAACTATGCAACTTGTCAGTTTTTGTATACACACACAAAGAGCAAGCCAGCACTAAGCGTAATCGTATTTCTTTCCCTCCCAAGTCTTCCATCCCAGTTTCAGTTTATTGTGGTTGGGAGCATTTTAGCAAACTCCTTCATTATTCAGTTAATTAGGTATAAAATAAGTAACTTGACCTAAATCCTTATCTCTATTCTATTGTTCCAGCAGTCCATACACTGGAACTGGTGCTCAGTAGTGAGCCTGGTGCAGTGTGTGTTGAAATGTAGTGAGCATCCTATTCTATCTTTATTGGCAGCATCAACAAGGAGAGCATTGTGGATGTAGAAGGTGTTGTGAGGAAAGCACATCAGAAGATTGGAGGTTGTACTCAGCAAGATGTTGAGCTTCACGTTCAAAGGGTAAATTTTTGAGCATATGGAGCACTGGTTAATTGTTTGAGAGATTCTCTGTCTAAATTGTCTACCTACATACATAAACTTTGTAAGCAGTCCCACACGACAGGAAAAAACTGCTTTAAACTACAGATTTCAGTGTATCATACATCAACGTGAAACATTTCTGGTTTTAAAGATATTTGATTTTTAGAATTTCCTATTTTTATCTGGCATTTGAATTACATTAGCAAGTAAAATAATGTATCTCACTAGAATAATTTTTCTTGGACTACTTGTAATTATAGTTTTGATTCGTAACTGGAGCAGATATTGTAATAAGTCTGCCTCTTTTTAAGTGCAACTCAGAAGCTCCTTCTTTATCAGTAAGTTACAATCTTCCCCTCAGTACAATGGGGTGGAATTCATAACTCTCAGTGCAAGTAAAGCACTGGTTTAACAGTATGGAAGCTCCTGAAATCTACAATTCCCGTAGCTTATGCTGCAGGGTTATAGGAAGTGCAACTTTATAATTTGTTTAAATAGAATGCATATTTAAACCTTTATGTAATATCCTTTCCTTCTAAAGCTTTTCAACCAAACTCTATGCATACAATACAGTGAAATAGAGGCACCTTGAATTTAATGGCTATTATAGCCTTAAGGTAAATTTTAACTAACGGCTAAGGAAAGTCTGAAGAAACATGTTTTAAGATATGTGCAAATTATCAGACAGTCGATTTTTCTGAAAAAAATACAAAATTCACTGTATCTATGAGTAGACTGTAAGGCAAGGCAAGGTGTTTTTAATTCTCTGATTGTATTTTAGGTATCTCAAATTTTCAGAAAGAAATGGCTCATTCAGATAAAATCAGATGATAAGGGAAAAAATGCATTAACAATGAGAAGAACATGATGATCTTGCTAGAACCTAAAATTCTCTGAAATCTAGTAGTTTCAGAGCTGGCATTCGTGCCAGTGGGCTTGTCTCTCAGGCAGTGTGTATTTCCTCAACCTCTTTCACGGGAAAAGTCCAAGATATTCTTAAGCTTTCAAAAGGAAAATAGGAACTAAGCACTTGCAGTATTGTCATGAGAATACACCCATGTATCTCAAGTATTTGAGTAAAATCACAGTATTACAGCTAACAGCCTATGCAAACACTGTTTCAAGTTATGCCAGAAATACCCTTTTGTAAATTACACCTCCTTTTGAGCTGAGTCTCATGCTATTTCTGTTCCTTTTCAATTTCAGATCTATGTGATCAGTTCAGCTGAACCCCGACTGCCCTTACAGCTGGATGATGCTGTTCGGCCAGAAGTAGAAGGAGAGGAGGTGAAAACTTTGCATCCTCTAATACTTTTTATTGTCTCTGTAATTCAGCAAAATAATGACAGCAAGGCAACTAAGTGCAGTGATTTTGGCAGCTTGTGAGGTTTAAATTTTACTTCCTTTATGTCATCTAGAACTGTGTTAGAAATACCAGCTTTGGTATCTGCTGAAATGCAATAGAAGGTCAAAATCCAGAGGGTTTGCAGTCTTGTGTGTGTCTTCTGAATTCTCATAGTTGGGTTCTCCCTGTGACCTCTGGGAAAAGTTGCACCTTTAGCTTTGCTACATTGCCAATATGCTGTATGTTCTTTCTAGAATCATCTAGAACTTCTACTGAACTTAGAATTAGCCCTTGGCTTTTAGCCAATGTTTTTCTCCATTGATTTTGTTTTGTTGCTGTTGTTTGTTTATTATTTTTAAGAGGTGTATATATTAATTTTATATCTTTGCATAACTCTTCAGGATGGAAGAGCTACTGTAAACCAAGATACAAGACTCGACAACAGAGTCATTGATCTGAGGGTAAGGAAAGTGCTGTGTTGCATGCTTGCCTGCAAGTGTTTTTTCTTCACATTTCTAATCCATGAAGTAACAAAAGTCATGGGTTTGATAGAAGTGTGCTGTTGGCCAGAGGGAAAATAAACAACATATTTTTCTGGTTTTGAGTGGCACTGTGAAAACAGGGATTTTGAATCCTAAATGTTGACCTTTGCTTCCATCAATCAAAGAACACATATTTAGTAGTTTAAAGGTGAACATATAGGATTTGGCAAGTGACCATGTACATCTGGGCTTTTTATTTACAAAAGTCACAGGTGACTCAGTAGGGACAATTTAAAGATAACATTTCTTCTGAAATGTAGTCTTTGATACCCAAAAACTGTAGTAAGAGCTCAGTTTTGAAGTATTAAGATGGAAGCTTTGAATTTAATGTGTAATTGAGATGGTGTAATGCATGTCTCAGAAGTTAAATTGTAGAATACCAAGATACCGAGTCTCATTTTCTTTGTCTCTTCCACAGCATTTTTTTTTCCTGAAACACCTTTCTTTGTGCAAGTCATACAGACACTGCTTGTGTGAATTCATATGCTTCCCAAATACTCTTTATAATCAGCAGCAAAAAGCTATCTACTAAATAACTTACAGAACTTTTCTTCTTTTTCAATGAAATGGCAACAAGTGTGTAACTAATTGGTCATATTGAAATGAGGCTTTCTGGTCTTTTCCCATATTTGGTTCTCCACTGCATTAAGATTGTGCTTCCCTCATTTTTATACTGCCTCTCATGTTCTGATAATGGCAGTTTTTCAGTAAATCAATCTATGGAAAATAGGGAAATAAAAAAGTCAGTTATTTACTGGAGATTTTGGAAGAGTTCTGGCACTGATATGCTTAAAGTGTTTGAATATCCGATCTCCTTATTTCAGCAACTAAAACTACTTGTTCACATTGTTTTATTTGGACCAAAGTGAATTGCTTTTCACTTGATGTTATGTATAATTCTAAAAAACTTAAATGAGGGATTACTTTTCAGGATACTCGGTATCTTACCATGTTGGTCTCTTCATATGTGTCTTAAATTAAGCCATTGCTGAGAAGAATTCTATACTACTGGTTGAAGGATCATCAGCTTATGGTTAGTGGTAAGGCACTGTACTAAACTGAAGGGAGAACTCTGGGGTGCTTGAAGTGCAGCTTTTACTTGAACTTCTGGTGAAGTAAAATCCTCAAGAGCACTCCATAGAACCTTAAGAAAATCTGTTAAATTAATGGAATGCCTGTATAATAAGCTGGAAAGCGCCATGAACCCTGAAGAGAAAAGACAAATAATACAAAAGGAAATAACAGTTAAAAATACTAGCTGAAAATAATGGCATGAAAGTATCTTTGGCTGTAGTTCAGCTAAGGGCATCTGGAGTAAAACCTAAGGAGGTATATAGTAATGGAAAAAAGAAGGAAGACTTTTAATGCCAGAATAAACTCAAGAGATGGAACAGAAAGAGGTGGGCTGAAATTTTTCTATCCCTGTACACATTGTGTCATCAAGCAGGACTCTCCCGGTACTTCTTGTCTATCTCTGCCAGTATAGTAATAGAGCATTAGTTGTTAGTGTTCTGCCTGGTAGCTACATGAATGCTGCTATAACCTTTCCTATCTTACATGTCCCAACACTGTCAGTGCACCATTTATTCAGCAATATTCAGTACCTTGTGTTGAGGTCTGAACCTTAGCTGCCTTCTACAGAAGCTATTTTTCTCCTTAGCTCCAACAGCTGCTGTGTTGTGGTGCTAAACAGATTTCATCCTGAACTGGAATTCAGGTTAACTTTTCACAAAATTAATGGAAGAATGAAATGCCAGATCTCAGTATTTCAGCACTTTATGTCTCACCCCCTGCATGCACCTGTGGCTGCATGTAACCTGGCCACAGCTTCCCCTTGATTAGGCTTAGGTATCAGTCTTGCCTTCCTTCCATGTATGGGAAAAGTTTGTCTCTGCTGTGTCACATTTCTGTGTGTCTCTTCTGCTGCACATTTCATTACTTGTTTCAGAACAAAAGCATACTAATTTGGAAACAGTAGGCTCATGCTGATTCATAAGTTTGCTTTGTTTGTTCTGAAGGAGCTGTGTTTGTGCAGAAGAAGATTTTAAGTAATTATGTATTACTGTGACCTGTTCTTTTAAAGGGAGAGCTGAATAAGCAAAAAAGGTATTTAATGGAGAAAGGGGAAATCCCAGTGGGGATACATGGAGCTTACATGTATGTGTACATCCTAAGCACTGAATGCAGTGGAATCACAAGTGCAGGGACATGAAAGCAGTTTGTCCTTCAAAATAACTTAAAAAAAAATAAAAAATCTCAAAAAGCAGTAACTGATTTTCAGTGATTTGGTTGCATAGATTGGAGCTGTAGTGCCAGTGGGACTTCAGAGAGCCTCTAGTGTTTCAAATGCACTGTGAAAGTACACATGTTCTAAAGAGGATTAGAAGATGTGATGTATTAAAAGCTCAGAGATACCTGAAACCATTGTTAGCCCCTGTTCTGGCCTTCTAGGAAAACCAAAACATGGGCAGCAGGGAAGAAATGTTATCAGTATAATTCTAACAGAGATGCTGTGATGATCTGTTCCACAAGTATTGAAGGAAGTCCAACCACAGCTACATATACCATCTAGTTCTGGTTTCCTCCGTGCCCTAGTTTTTTAAGGAAGAAGGAGGTCATTGAACATCTTTTTCATGAGAAATACTATTTAAAAAAAAAAAAAAGTAACAAACTAAATACATAGATCTTGGCTAGAACCAGACCATAAAATGTCCCTAGTATGGAATAAAAATTATTTTCATCCATTTAAATATAGTAGTTAAGTTTAAAGTAAAGTACTTAAAGTTTAAAGTAGTTAAGTAGTTGAACTAATTTTAAGTAGTGATTAATCAATGAGTTCATTGGATAGGGCCAAGTCGTGATCAAGTGCAGCTGTGAAACTTACTGCATGAATGAACAGGACCGGATTTCCAAAAATGGCATCACTCCACCTAGCTCAGGAGTGTACCAAGGAGAGTTTGATTATGATTCAGTAGAAGAACTGCAATTAATAATAAGGAAATTATATTACTGGAGATGTAATATGCAAAATATTCTACAAAGATTCCAAGACTTCCATTTTTGTGTACATGTTAAAATATGCTGAGTAGTGCACTGTACAATTAACAGTCTTACATTTTTGTTGCTGTCAGAGATCTTCCAGAGGTGTCTAGTAATTTTTTTCAGGTTAGGGTTGGGGTAGGTACGTAAATGATAAGATCCCAAGCTGATGCTGTAGTTGTTATTCTCATTTATGGAGGGAAAATTTTGATTATTTAGAGTGGATGGGTTTTAAGAATCCTTTCCAAGGAGTGATGACTGAAGAAAAATGCATCTAGTCCTGATGGGTTAACTCATAAAATACAGAGCACATACATGTGGAGTAGAAAAACTGTGGGTGTAGAGATGAGAGAGGTGAAGAAGAAAGAATAGTCCTTGTATAGACCAAATTTTCATTCACATAACCACAGATGACCCATGAGGAAACTGCAGTTGACCTAAGCATCTATTTTTCATAATATCTTAATGAAAGTCAAACCATTTGATTCTAGAGATGTTTGGTTTACCATTCTCTTACCAGAACAATTACAAAAAGGCAAGTTGGAGCAAGCTTGTGGTTTTAAATCTTTACTTGTCTGCTGATCTTAAGTTTAACTGAAGTATTCAGTGATGTGTGTGTAGATGTCTCATGTCTGTAAAAAAATCTAGAGAAACCATTATTTCATTAAGATCTGTAGCAGATGAAAACACTTAAGTGAAGGCAAGTAAAACAACTATTTTGGGACTTGGCTTCTTAGTTGTCTTCCTCTGAAGAAAAGAATCAATTCAAGTTCATCCAGTTTCTCTGTCCAAATTTTACTTAAGTTATATGCATTTTGCACTCTGATGCTATGATTTTATCTGCTAATTCACAGGTCATTGAGACCAAAGCATAGGGTCAATATTATCCTGTTGAAGTTGCTCAGGATAGAGCGTAAACATTAAACTGTACCTTTAGTCACTTACAGATGTCTCACTATATGATAATCTATCTGAACACTGATCTTAATGCAGTTTTTTTCTAAATACTTTATTACTTCAAGCTTAATTTCATTGTGTTTAGTTCAGTTTATTCATTGCAAAAGCTGTGGTTTTCCTGACTAAATTCAAGCTGTAATGAACAAGAAGATGTAAAATTTATTTTATTGTGGATTGTGACTTGGTAATTAAGATGTAACACAATCTCAGTCATTTAGACAACAGATGTCATGTTCTTGTCTTTTTCTTATACTATAAGTAATATTGAGATTTTAATAAAAGTTTACTTAAGTGACTTGGGTTAAAATTTTTTATTTAACATAAACCCTATTTCTGAGTAAAACCTTTATTTCTCATATGCACAGTAGAGGAATTGCAAAATTATTTACATTGTTTAAAAATTATATTACTTAAATGAATATAGATTACATGATTTCCCCTTTTTTATTTAGTCTACTTTATGTATTTCGTGATTGTTCATGGTGCAAGATAGGTACTGAGAGGAGACAAACAAAAGCAGAACTGAGGTGAGAGTGGAACAAATTCTGCTGCTGACATGAGACTAAAGAGAAAGCTTCACAACCTTGCACATCTGTACCTCAGTCACACTTCTTTGAGATACGATCACTTAAGGTCTTAACTGCCCTCAATTCTACTGAAACACATTTGTTGATCTCTGGCAACTTACATGGCTGTTACTTTAACACTACTGCTTGTGCAGAATGAAAAGTGAGAATTGTTTTTTATAATTTTGCTTCTGGTGTTAAAATATGCTCTGTTCTATTTTTATTAATATTTTCCTTTGTGACATTTAAATAATAAACACACAGGTGAAGTCTGAGTGGGATCTTGACTGAAAGTAAATGTTAGCTAAATATTTTTTTCTGCTGTCTGTAACAAAGGAGATGATTGAAAATAGAGGATTTTCCTGTGAAATCAACTCTGCAGGTTGAGTTAAAGCATTAACACTATTAACTGCAGCAGCATTTAAGTGGTATGTTTGCTTAACTTGTGAGGAGTATTAACTGTCTTTGTCATAGTCTCAGATAAGATAGTTTGTCAGTAGGTATGTGGAATAGTTAATATTAGACTAAATAGTACAGGAAAAGAATGCCATGGCAAAATCTGCCAAGTTTTGCTCCATCTGTAGATACAGAATCATCTTTAAAATTTTGGAAAGTTGTAGTGGCACACAAAACTTGATCAGTAATCCGTTTGACTTCACTGCACATTGACAGTTGCAATTGTTTAGAAACTTTTCTCAAATGACTTGTTGGTCGGTTTAATTCTTACAAGGAGACTTCAGTGTCACAAATTCTCAACAGTTATCCTTGTTGGCAGTCTCTGAATGAATGGGCACTGAGACTCAGCTATTTGGTAGAAAGAAGAGTGGTGTTGTCAGATCTAATTTGAGGTATGGAGAATTGCTGCTTGTTCTTTCCTTGATCTGTAGTTGGAATAAAAGCTTCAGTATCCAGATCTGTGAATTCGGCAGCTTTCATAAATACTATTTTTAAAGCATAATTTATCATTATTGATTGGTCTCTTCTCCCTAGTAACAAGAAACAGGGCAAGAGGAAATGGTCTCAAGTAGCACCAGGGGAGATTAGATGTTAGAAGAAACTTACTCACCTAAAAGGTAATTAAACACTGGAACAGGCTGCCCAGGGAGGTGGTTGAATCACCACCCCTGGATATGTTTAAAAGACATATAGCTGTGGTGCTGAGGAACACAGTTAAAGCACTGGACTTGGTAGTATTAGGTTGATGGTTGTTACTGTTAGGTTGTTGGACTCGATGATCTTGAAGGTCTTTTCCAACCAGAATTATTCTGTGATTATAGATGAGATTAGGAAGACAGAGTCTTTGCTCTGCATCCTCACTAAATCCAGAAGTTGCTACCTGACAAACTATTGCTAGAGAAGAACTGTGTTAGATATTAACAGGCTTTATTTCTGTGCACACTTTCAGGTTTTAAGTAATTGCTTTCAGATTAGGTTTAGCAACCATTTTTCCTAGGAATCTATAATTTAAGACTACACCTACTCTGGCATGAAACTGTTGTTGGTTTATCAGAAGGGGAGAGGAGGCAGTGTTACTATCCTGCTTTACATAAACGTTACGCAATTTGTCTTTTAGCAATTAAAAAAAAAGTAGTTTATAAAAAACAGTATTGGTGAACCCAAATGTGACTGTTTAAGTTGACACCTCTTGGAAAATGTCTTGGTAAAGAAAATAAATAAATGAACCCCTTTCAATCATCCTGTTGTTTTGATGTAACACTGTTAAATGCTGCCCAGAACTCACACTTAGTCTTAGCATATGTCTGACTGTGGGAGACCTATGTAAAAAAGTGAAAAAGTTTGAGAGTACTTTTGTAACTGTTGCTCAAAACCTCATTTCCTTAATTTTGAAAGTAGAGGGAGTAGGGGCTGTGGTTACTGCTATCAGACAGTGAGAGCTGCTAGCTATTACTTACTAGTCTCAACCACTTAAAGTCTTGATATATATTATTGATCAGCTGAAACTGAAAATAACTCCAAATTATTAGACATGTGTGGTAGTACTACAGTTTACTTTTTTTTTTTCCAGCAAAGTGACCTCTTTATCTTGCAGAGATGATGGATGCAACTTTATTTCAGTGTATCTACTGCTTAAATTTGGGTGCTTATATAATTTGTTTTGGTTGGGGTTTTTTGTTTTGTGGTTTGGTAGGAGTCATGTGAAAAAGCCCACAAGGCTCTTCTTACCCTAACTGAAAAGTTTGGTACCTTTCAGAAAGGAGAAGTAAACAGTGCTATGACGCAGATAGTTGTAAAGAACTGTTCTCTTGGTTGTCTGGAAGAAGTCGTTAGGTTTTATGCATGCTTCTAGGCTCCTAACTGTCAGCTCTTACAAGCTGCAAGCACGAAATCAGATACAGGTTCAGTGCTGACGTCGTGCAGTGTTTTCAGCTTTCTCTAAGGTTTTTTTTTTCTTCACACTAAAGCCCAGGAGTGTTACAGGGGCTTTTACTGTAGATATTTGCTAACCAGATAAGTAGCTTAACTGTGTCACGCACATAACCAAAAAGATGATGATAATTTCAGCTAAATATACTTTTGTTTTCAACTAGATACACTTTTGGAGTAAATCTTGAAAATACGGAACTGCAGTTCATATGATGAGGTGTTAGATGGACTGTTTTAAATGCTGGGAGTTTAGACCTTGGTTTTGGGATGGTTTTATGGCAGTGTTGTGCATGGTTGATATGTGGCTGTGTTTTTATAAGAATAACATTGTATTTGGGCCTTTAATAGACACAAACATTTCTACCTTATGTTATTGAGGGCTTTGCTTTTATCATGCACTGTATATTACTGCAGCTGTTCTAGTTCCATTTGCTGAAAGCTTTTTAATAGGTTTAGTGTTTTCATAAAACTTCTTTCTATAAAACCTTTATTTGCAGAAGCACATCTCATAAATCAGTGATTCTTTAAATGCAGATTTGACCAGAGTGCCTCTTTTATAACTAAATATGCCATAAATTGAAATGAGGAGGTTCTCTTGTTTCCTTTGCTGTTTCTTTTTGTGTAATAAACAATTACCCATTTGCACTTTTCTCTGTTTAGGCAAATACAATAATCAAGTGTTCCTTAGAGAACTTTCAGTTGTCCAGAAAAAGTAGTAGAGTCAGGAAAAAAACCCAAAACTTAGGATTCATTATTTTATCTTCTTGTAGACCTCCACTAGTCAAGCAATCTTCTGCCTTCAGTCTGGTATTTGTCAGCTATTCCGAGAAACTCTTATTCACAAGGGATTTGTGGAAATTCAGACTCCCAAAATCATTTCAGGTATTGTATATGCAATCCAACAGCTGTAGGTCTGCTTCTTTTGTAGTTGCTCAGAGTCCTGTCTGTCAAAATTTTAATAAGTTTTTATTTTAAAAGTTCAATTTCTAATTTAGATGAAATTTAGCAAACTTCTAGCAGGTATCAAAGTTGTGCTTACTTTTCTCCTGACTTTGGATGTTAAAAGAATGACAAGACAAATACTATATATACCCTGATAAATTTACACTGCAGTGCATTTAAAGTTTTAATTTGGTTAAATACAGTAGTCTGATCGTATGCATTGTTACTCAAATCAGCATTCTCAATCTTGAGCACTGCCTCTTTCATTCCCAGTATCTAAAAAAACCATAATCCACTGTAATTTAGATTAAAAGCAGCTTTCATCATGAAGTTGTTTCATGTTTGTTGTAACATATCATGATATAAAAGATTATGCCATTATATACAGTATGTCACTTCTTTAGCTTATGGCTGACATTTTTCTGGAAGTGTGGCATAGCAGCTTCAGCCTGGCTAAAAGTCTGGAAGTGTATATTTTGCTTCTAGTTCTGTTGTTGATCTGCTGTATTTTTTTCTAAAAGTCAACTGACTTGATTTACTGATGGATATTTTAATTCCATTTTATTGGTGTTCTTTGAGGTTTTGTTGATGTGATCAAGACATATGGCATGGAAAATGTAGGACAGAATATTTGTATTACACATTGTATGTCATTCATTATATGCATACATTTTGCCTACTAAATTTTATATTTCTGTGTTTATATTTTTGAAGACAGCTCTTGATTGAGATAAAAAACTGTTCTAGCAAAACACTTTTAAGCAACGTACTTTCAACATGGAAAGTATCATTCAACTATAATATTAAATAACTTTTTTCCTGCAGATACAGTTGAAGCAGTATGAAGTACTAAAGACTCCCAAGTAGTTTATTTTTGTAAGACCTTTGAGGAAGTGTGCTATTCTTACTGTGCAGTGTACCATTGAAGGCAAGCAAGCAAGCATCCTATTGTTTGAATGAGATCGTATTTTGTAAAAATAACTGAGTTAAGTTGATGCCATCCTTACGAAACTTCCAATTCAAACATCGTAGCTGTTCTAAGATTTGAGATTTTGAAAGTTAACTTGTATTAAAAAATAACTGTAAATATTCACTTAAACCATTTCAGTGGGAGTAGCGATAATGACAGAAAAGAAACATTAGTCTTAGCAGAATGGTTAGTAACAATAGTGATTAGTACTTTACCTAGAGTCATTGTAACATTAGAACTTTGCAAGATCATTAACTAGTCTTTCATTCTGGCATGCTTTTGCTAGCAAGTTAGGCAAATCTAACTCTCATATCACACACTGGGAAATGGAAAGGTTAAGTGACTTAGCTGGTAGTTTTGATAGGCAGTTTGCAGTATGAGATTTAAATGCATGTGTTCTTGGTTCTTGTTCTCTCAAGGTGACTTGTGAAAACCACCTCAAGCTGAGAAAAAGCTTTATACCTTTGCAGATGTCCTCTGGTAAATCTGGTTTTGTCTGAGAGACACATTTATGCCTCCAGTTAAGAGAGGATGGTCCTGGCAAAACAGGATACGTGCTTTCATCTCAGTCCTTGCAGTTAACCCCTGGAAGCCTATGTCCCTGATAAACATGGGTTTCCACAGACATGTTGGGCTGCAAGTGGATGTGGTGCTACAAGCATGCATTTTCTGCTGTTCTCAGTCTTAAGGTGGAGGACAGCTGGGAATAGTAACATTTTAAACTACCCCAACTAAATTTGCGGATTTGCCAGACAATGTGTGACAGTGCTGAGCTGCAAATCTTCTCTCAGTATTAATGGATGCAAATATATCTTTTGCCTCTAATATGCTTTGAAAAAAAATCTCCCTCAGATCTCTAGGTGTAAGACCAATAGTAAGTCTACCTCTGATGTATTTTTTATATTTTTATTTAATAATTACTGTAAGCATTTGCTTTTCAGCTGCCAGTGAAGGAGGAGCCAATGTGTTTACAGTATCATACTTCAAAAGCAGTGCCTACCTGGCTCAGTCCCCACAGTTGTACAAGCAGATGTGTATATGTGCTGACTTTGAAAAGGTTTTTTGCATTGGGCCAGGTAAGAAAAGCATTGGTTTATCCTAAGTGTGAAGTGTGCAGTAATAGCTTTTAGCAGCTGTGGTACAAATAAGATAACATGCAGACTGAAAGCTCTTAGGGGTTTTACTTAATATAGTTTCACTTACTGAACAGAAATTTCAGTTGGAGCAACGAATGAGAATAAAGTTGACAGAGAAGTTGCTGGAACAAAACTAAAATGCTGAGGTAAGGGTGCAGTACTCTTCTCCAGTGCCTGTTGTTCTATGAGGAGAAAGAATGGAGTTGCATTGGAAATTGATAATGAATTTAGAAAAACATGGCACAACACTGTGATTACTGGAGCTGTGGTTTCCTATTAACCATGCCAAGTAGTTGCCTTCAGTTGCCCAGTGATAAACAGTGAAAATAGGCAAGCTTATGCACTTCACATTGCATATTGCCATATATTTATCCCTTGCTTTTGTATATGTACCACACAAATTTATTCAGAAAGCACATTGTTAACTGGGGTATCAGTAAATAATAAAAATTAATAAATTCCCAGTATGCTTTCTCAAAAGCTTATAGGACATGGCCCCTTTAGGTGGTAATACCCCATTTATTTTCTAAGACCTCAAAGACAGGTTTAAAGACAAGTAAGCTGGAAATGCTGGAAAATAAGTCAATAACAGCTTAGAAAATGAAATTTTTAAAAAGCAAATATTTCAGAATATCTTAAGTTTCTTGTTAATTACTAACAAATGAGTCATGGGTTGTAAGAAGACATGTTTATACTAGCCTCATATATCTGAAAAAAGCCCCCAACAAAACGGAACACACACACGTGCACAAGTCCATTTCCTCTGAAAAGAAGTGGTTTTCAAATCTGAAAGTTCTTGGGTGCCTGAAAGCTTGTCTGTTTCTCCCACTTCTGTCTGTTGGTCTAACAAGAGATACTGCCTCTCTACAAGTCTTGTCTGTCTTGTATCCTTTGAGCACCACAGCTACAGTAATGCTGTCACTGTTGTTATAAGTGATGCTCTGAGGCAGCTAGTTTTCTTTTTGTTTTCCAGTGAGAATTGTCATGTCTGAACACAACATTGTCTGTCCAAAGACTGACGTGGTTGATTGTCAGTGTTATTTTTCAAAATGGAGTGATAATTTCAGATCAGTTAGAATGTCTGTTGTTTAATTTTACAGTATTTAGAGCTGAGGACTCCAATACACACAGACACCTGACAGAGTTTGTTGGTCTGGATATTGAAATGGCTTTTAACTATCACTATCATGAAGTGGTAGATGAAATTGCAGATACCTTGGTGCAGATATTCAAGGGACTTCAGGAAAGGTAATGAGAGCATTTTCTGTTTCATGAGCAACTTCATATGTTTGAGATCTCTCACACTGTGGCATGAAATGGGTGAGCATTTCATCCTCAGCTTGTCAGATAATTAATAATCTGATTTACAACAGAACTTCAAAACAGGCATTTTTGCTTTGCTTCTACCTATTTCTTTGTGCCTGACTTTTGAAGTTCACTCAAACCATATGCCAGTAAACTGTCTACTTTTATCCCAATTTGCATCTCCTAGAGTATGCTGGCTTGCACAGGGAAACCTTATTGTTTACTGTTGAATGGACTTCCTAACAGAAAAGATCCATTATTAGTTTTGTGTGTCCTTTTTTGCCACTACAGGTAGACTGATAGTTCTGTTTTGAAATGAATCTTAATATTTACTTATGAAAGTTTTTCTGTATCAAATTTATTGTAAAAGCCTGCGTCTTTGCCATGGCAAAAGCAAAGAGAATTTTCCATTATTCACAATCCAATTCATTTAAAAGGCAAGGCAGAAGTTTAGGAAGTGGTTTTTATTTACTTACAAATTAGACAGCCGTGCCAGCAGAAATGTAAATCTTTTCATCTGTCTAGAAGGAAATTTCTCTTTTAAATAGAATATTACTTAACGCAGAGAACTCAGGTAAATATTACAAATCAAGGGGATAATTTCTGCATGTCTTTGCTGGGAAAACTTGGTCTAGTCAATTATTTCTTACTAAAGGAATAAACCAGAAGTAAAAGTAAAATACTACCATGTATAGTTGAAGTAGATTCATTAACTTACATGAAACATTTAATCAGGATTGTACAGAATTTCTCTGCAGAAGTGGCTTTAAAATAGTTTTTTATGTTGCGATAGGGACCCCTTGTGGCAAAATTACAATTGCAGAATCATTACTAAATGCAAGAAGAGTACATTTCTTGACTGTTCTGTATTTTGCATCTGTTCTTGTTTCCTCATGCACAGATTCCAAACTGAAATTCAGACAGTAAACAAGCAGTTCCCTTGTGAGCCATTTAAGTTTTTGGAGCCAACTCTGAGGCTGGAATACCGTGAAGGTGTGGCCATGCTTAGAGAAGCTGGTGTTGAGATGGGTGATGAAGAAGATCTGAGGTATTTTGGAAGTACACAAATGTGTCAGAGTCTTGTGGGAGGGGAAGTGTCAGTTTTGTACTCTGCAACTGACAGCCCTCAAGAAGGAAACACAAGGTTTTAGAGGAATAAACAGAACTCATATCCAGATGTCTTGACAAATACATGAAAGGATATGAAAACAGAACTTTATTTTAATGTAGACTATAGGTACAAAGTCTGAAATTTAAAAGAAAATAACTTAAAACACAAAGTGAAAGTAACTTGAACCTTCTAACTGTAAGAAGCGTTTGTTTTCCTAACCATTGCAGTCCTTCAAGTGAATTGTGACATGGCTTTGAATAGGATTAAACAACATTTCTTCAGTCTTAAGATCTTTTCAGTAACAGCTTCTCCTTTCTTCTTTCCACCTCTCAGGAAAATGATAAAGCAATCATGATTGCATTCTCATTGATTGACTCAAAGATGTGTTTAATTAACTGATTATATTTAAACTTCTCTGAAGACACTTCCCTTTCTTTCCCATAATATATCCAGTACCATTAGGATAATGTGTGATTTTACAGTTAAATAATCTGTTCAAGAAATTAAGAGATTTCATTCTTAAGAATTTGATAGGGAAAAACAATTTTCTCAGCAACTTCTGATGGTTTTTCTCACTGATGGTGCCTAAGAAGAAATGGCTGCACAAGATAAATGCTGATAGGAATAAGAGCACACAATTCTTCAGTAATCAGAATATGGGGACCAAGAAATAATTATAGTAACAGCAAGAATAGGTATTAGTTAATTTAAGGGAACTTCAGGACCAACAGAAAATATTTAGGAGCAGAAATAAATATACTTTCTTTCTGAAATTTGACAGTACTATAGAAAACATTGAGAAACAAGTAGTAAATTTTCTAAAGGGTGGGGTGCAGCAGATCTGTAGCTTGAAATCTTTTTAGCTTTATGAGGTATATAATGCATACAGGTTTAAATTACTTAATTTTAATGGTGATAATCTTTTTCAGCACACCTAATGAAAAGCTGCTGGGACGCCTAGTAAAGGAAAAGGTAACAGTTATTTTAAAATAAATTTGATCTGAAATCTGATATGGAGTCATTGGTCTGGCGTGGGGCCATACCAGCTGGTATGGGCCGAAAGGGCCTCCTTCATGAAAAAAACTTTTTACATACTGAGAATGCAGGGTCTCAGAACATGCAGAAGTTCTGACGTTTGTGATTAGCATAGGCAGTTTTTAATTGTCTGACTGCATTCCCATTTTGCTGCTGCTTATTTAATTACTGTAGTTTTAAATTATTCTGTGTAGGGATAAGTTGACAAAATAAATATTTATATGATCCTGCTGTAACAATATGTAATTCTGATAAAAAGATTAGGTCTCCTATAGATAGGAGAAGATGAGATCCTTGGCAAAAAAATAATCTGTTACTGCAGCAAGACATTTTACTGCTACATATTTGTAAGTTTACAGTAGTAGTATTGGAAAAGTGAAAAATAATGCACCACTTTTATTGACAACTGTTATTTTTTAAGATAATACTGTCAAATTTGTGGAAAGTTATTGGGATACCTTTTAAAACTTTATTTTGAAGATTTACTGCTTATGTCTTCCTCTTGTAGTTTGTTCTTTACATAATTTTCTGTTGTACTAACTTTTAAATTACCTTCTTTTAGTATGACACGGACTTCTATATTCTTGACAAATATCCTCTTGCTGTGAGGCCTTTTTATACAATGCCAGACCCACTAAACCCTGTAAGTAAAATTCTTTGTTGTTGTCACTGGGATATTTTTGGTAGTTTAAATTATTCTGTGTAGGGATAACTTGACAAAATAGATAAAAGTATTTTTATGATCCTGCTGTAACAATATGTAATTCTGATAACAAGATTAGGTCAGTGTTACATGACTTGTAAAATGTTCACAGTTACTATTCAGAGGTGAAAACATATCAGAAAGAAACAAATCAGCTAAAAATTGTGAGGGCTTTATGGTCATGGTCATGGTCAGAACACTACTGCCATCACTGAAGAGGCAAAAATATTCTCCCAGGACAACAGACAACTTAACAGAAAATGTGGGTTTTTTTCATTATTAGAAATTTCTCAATTTATTTCTAAATCCAGGGTAAATATCTTTAAAGCATTTTTGCTAGGATAACTACATGCAAGTTTAATGTTTTTTCAAAGGGCTTGTGGATGAACATATTTATTTCATCTTCAGTCAAATGAGAGGAGCCAAAGGGCTGTAATTCCCAGGCAGACTCTCCAGATACATTGCACTCTCACTGCACAACTTGGGATATCAAAAGTGAAGTTACTGAGGGGCATGTTTTTTACCCAAAGACAGAGCAACTGTTGATAGGAAATAAACCCATCTTTGTTTTTCCAGAAAAACTCCAACTCTTATGATATGTTCATGAGAGGGGAAGAGATCTTGTCTGGAGCTCAGAGAATTCATGATCCTCAGCTGCTGACAGAAAGAGCCAAGCATCACGGCATCGGTAACGAGTTAAACAACATTAAGCTGAATTTGAAGGAATATAGTTCATGACTGGATTTGTTTCCTTTAGAGGAAGAATTTGGGGCAGAATTAGTTACATGGCAGTATGGTTAAAATCAGGGTATTGTTTCATGCTTAATGTTTGTTAATCCATGTAATTCTGTTCAACCATTTTAGTCTAGAGTGGTGGTATTGAGAAACTAGTTAGTTTCCCAGCAACACCTTGATGAAAAGGAATTGTTTCCAAGGAGTTTAGAGAAATGTAGTGCAGGAAATGTCTTCAACAAAACGAGGCTGGTCAAACAAGTCTCATTCAGTCATGCCTCTCTGTACTCTCACAGACTTTTTACTGAGGACTGTAGCATTTTGGTTGGATGCCCTTTTTAAACCTTGAACTGAGAGGAAAAAAACAAGCAGTGACCCTTGGT